AGCCCAGGAATCCAGTGGAAGAAACAGCCTGAATCCGGATCTCGGGCTTCTGTGGAGATTCCTGCACGCCACCTCCTTCCTTCAGGACATGCAGAGAACTGCAGATGCCGGGAACCCTCCAGCTCCCTCCCCCGACAGTACCTGTGAGCTGTGCTCTGCCAGGACCAGCGGTACCTAGTGGCAGCCAGCAGCTCTGCAGCCCATTTCTGTGGAGGAAAAGGAAATTCTGCGCAAAACCCATTAATTTTTGTGCAAATTCTGCATGCGCGGTGGCGCAGAATTTCCCCAGGAATAAATTTAATGCCACGATCCTACAGTGCACATGGGCAGGCCCCTGCAGCTGTGCAGAGCCCCACTTAATTAAGTGGTGGAACTTCATACAGGTACAAGGATTGGCCAGTGTATTTCAGAATTGGGGGCAAATCTCTTTAAGGGGTAAAAGGAAACAAACAAACAAACAAAAAAATCACAAAATCCACACGTAGGAGTTGCCATATTGGATCAGCACCAAGGTCCATCCAGTCCAGTATCCTGGCCCTGACAGTGACCAGAACTAGATGCTTAGAGAAAGCATTAGTCTTATCCTGGTCTCTAACAGTTACAGACTGGTTTAAACCCCGAAGAATAAAGTTTAATACACCCTTCCGAAAAATTGATATATTTTGTTATAATTGATAATTGTTATAACTCTTGACATTCTTGATATCCATACATATATGCACATATTCAGATCAATTTATGAACTACAAAATAAGAACATTTTGCTCAATTAAGGATCACAGAATTTGATCCTATAAAAAAAAATACTAGTGACATCCCTTTTTAGTGACTAGTGACTCTCAGAAGCATTATAAAAATGTACTTATTTTGTAAAAATAGTTAGTTTTAAAATCAGTACAGTTTTGCTATATTTTAATTTGCTTTTATTACACTTGGAATTTAAGAGTGGCATAAGCATTTTTTTTACTGGGAATTTATAAGATCTACATATTTTAAAGAACACTTACCGTCAGAGCTTGTGAGTACAAAACTCTCAGCTTGGGATTGCTTCTTTCCACCTATATTTTTGGGAAACCAATGAAGATCTATGGGGTAGATATCATCAGGAAGCTTCACTACTTGAGTTGTCTCACTAGTTAACAAGTTCCATTTTATGATGTGGTGATCATCACTACATGAATATAGCTCATCAGCTGTAGTCCAGCCCACACAGCTAACCAATTCTTTATGTGTAATTGAATTAAGGAAGTCTTGAATTTTGGTTACTGAAAGTAATCTTAGAATATACCTCTTCTCTAAGTATTGCAAAAATAAAGTGATAAAGAAAAAATATTTTAAAAATATTTAATTTTGGCTATTTAAAAAACAGATCTATATACAGAAGTTATTTTTCTTTGTGTAAGGTCTTTACATTGCATTATTTTTCTTTGTGTCAAGAGGCAGCAGAAAGCTGGAAGAAAATAAAGAGCAAAAAAGGAATTTGACAGAGTATGTGACTTTAAAAGTATCATGTCTAATTAAACTGCACATCTATTAAGTACAGATAAAACCTTAGGCTCCATCTACAGGAGGGCCTTGGTGTCAAAATACATAAGTTAAAACACATTTGGTCAAATTTTGGTTTTCGTTATAGCCGTATCACACTGGGGATGGAGATAACTCATTTAAGAGTAACAAAGTGGTATTAGGTAAGCGTATACCTTTGCAATAAGACTAACAAACGATAGTATCAACAGACAAATTGATACAGGAGTGAAATTATTAGCTGCATGAGAAAATCTCTTTGCAAGAATAAATCCTCTAAGAGAAGAAAGGGAAAACAAACAAAATAAATCTTGACACCTTCTGCAAGGTGCTGAACATCCTAGATTCCAACAGAAGTTACTGAAAATGGAGGGTACTAAGTACCTTGCTTGAGGTGCTTAACACCTTGTAGTACTGGGCCTTTACATTTCTGCAGAAAACAGTAAAAATCTTTTTTTTTTAATTAAGTCTCCAGAATCTGTAAAATAACTTTGCACTGTCTTTACAATCACATCACATATTTTACTAGAACATGATAAACATAATTCTATTTTACCAAAAGTGCTGTGTAAAGTTAATACTTTGTTTTGAGACAAAGGATATGTTTTGGTTCCTTTAAGTGTGATGTCTTCAGCCTCATTCTTTCTAAATTTCTTGGTTTTGCTAGTCCAGATGAAACATTAAAAAGTATAAAAGATGGTTTCTTCACTGGATAGGTTACAGCTGTAAAGATTTTTTAAAATGAGTAATCACCATTAAAAAGGAAAATACAAATATCCAAAATAAAATGTTTAAAAGCAATTAATGTTGTGCATGTTCTCTAAAGAAGGCCAGCAATACAATTCACACAGTCTTCAACTAGGCATAGGTGAGCAATATATATAATGCTGTTGACCAAAGAAGAATAAGTAGTCAAAGAAGGACATGGCTGGCATTTACAGGCAGCAGGTTTGGTGACAGTTGTTGACTAGTGGGGGGCAAGGATCAACATTCACATCACATTCCCCATCAGTACCCAGGCCCACACCAGGGAAGCTAATGATCCAACCAGCAGATCAAATTCGGTGATGACTCCTGATCACATGCCACCTTCTTATGTTAAACGTGCCTCAGAAGATGACTAGCTATGGTATCTGCATACAAAAACGTATGCCTCTTTTCATGGGCAGGACAGAATAACTAAAAATTAATCACTGGAATAAACTGACAGACTATTGAAGAATATGGTTTTTAAAAAGTCGCTCTCTCTCTCGGATATAATTACTATAGAGTACATATTTTGGACCAGAACCTCAGTTGGTTTAAATTAGCATAGCTCTACTGACTTCAACTGGGCTATGTTAATTTATACTGATAATCTGGTCCAAAATATGCACATATTGCATATGTGTAACATGTAATATGCTACCAAGTATCAGGGTGGATTTGATTTAAATCACTAATCAGGAAGACTCGATTTAATCATGGATTTCTACATAAAAAAGTGCATTCTTGTTGGTTGTTACAACCTTAATACATAGTCTTCACAACTCAGGGTATGTCTACACTACGAAATTAGGTCGATTTTATAGAAGTAGATTTTTAGAAATTGATTTTATACAGTCCATTGCGTATGTCCACACTAAGCGCATTAAGTCAGCGGAGTGCATTCTCACTACTGTGGCTAGCATCAACTTACGGAGCGGTGCACTGTGGGTAGCTATCCCATAGTTCCCGCAGTCTCCGCTGCCCGTTGGAATTCTGGGTTAAGCTCCCAATGCCTGATGGGACAAAAACATTGTTGCGGGTGGTTTTGGGTACATGTCGTCAGTCGCCCCTCCGTCCGTGAAAGCAATGGCAGACAATGGCCAAGCTTTGATGCGACCGTTGTGTATGTTTCTCCTTGATGCAAACCCGCCCCCTTTGTTGATTTTAATTCCCTGTAAGCCAACCACCCTTCCTCCATTTGAAATAAAGTAACTATTGTTTTGAAACCATGCATTCTTTCTTTATTAATTAAAAAAAAAAAAAAAAAGAAGAGAGAGAGAGATAATAGACAAGGTAGCCCAGGTGGGGTGGGGGAAGAGGGAAGGACAAGGCCACATTGCTTATTGTAGCCACGCTAAAAATCAAACTGTTTGAATGACAGCCTTCTGTTGCTTGGGCCATCCTCTGCAGTGAAGTGGCTGGGTGCCCGGAGCCTCCCCCCGCATTCTTGGGCGTCTGGGTGAGTTGGTGGCCACACTCTGAGGCCACCAAAAAAATTTGTCCTGAGAACCTCTGCACTAAACCATTTAAAGAACAAGTGATGCTAGAACTGCTTAACTGTAAGAGTATATGTTGAAATTGTGCAGTCCTGTAGAGTATACTGGCATTAGGACAGGGTACCCTTTATGAACGATTTGAAATCACAGACCATCTTGGAAAACATCATTCCTAAATGCAGTATCACAAGAAAAATCAGAGACAGAAACCAATCAGAGTATAAAGATATTCATGCCTTGCCGCTACAGGGTAAGGAAAATTATAGGTGAAGCTGATAATGCATCCTGAAAGCTTCCCACTGTAAGATCTTGTTTTCAGTTGCTTATAACTTTGTCAAACTTTAACCATTTGGGTTGAAATTTTCCATCCTAAGTTTCTGCCTCAGACTTTTATTTAAAAAAAAAAAAGTTTCAGCTAGAACCATTCAGCCATTTCCAAGAATGAAACTAGGAGTTAAATACATTATTTTGTCCATGTTTTTTTAAAAAAAATACTATAATCTTTTTGTCCAGAAGCTCTACTACCTCTATGCTTTCTGGCAAGGGCTTGACATTTGAATGCATGGGGTATTTCCCTGGTGTCAGGGATGTGGCTTTTGCCATCCCCATGAAAATTTACCCAAATGAGATCAAGTTATGAACCTCAACCAGTTTGCACAAGCTCAGTAGACACTTGTTAGAGTCCGGCACCTAAACTCTCTGAAGAGTCCATCTGCTGAGCACACACCATCCCCAGAGAGCAACTGAACATGCTCCATCCCAGGGCTGCAGAGACTGGACCAGGGTTTCCCCACAATTGCTCTTCCTGGTTGCCAAGACTGCTCCCCCAGCAAGTGTCCAGGCACTGTAGAGAAAGAGGAAGAACCAGCCTGGCTGAAATGCAGATGGGTGAGGAATAGGAGAGGGGTGGAGAGACAGGACAAGGGGTTGCAGGACCCAGAGGATGGGGAAAGGAAGCAGAGGTGGACGGGAACTGATGCAAGAGGGCGGATAGGAGCAGAGGGAGAAGGAGCAGGAGCTGGAGCAGGATGATGGTGGGTAGGAACAGAGGAGGAAGATAGGAAGGGAGGGGACCAGGGACACGAGCTGGGGGAATAAGGATCTATAACCATTACAGAATACTACCCTTCAGAACCAGCAATTGAAATCTAGGATCCTGAATCTCTACCTTCCTCTGCCATAAGCAGGGTGTGAAATCCACTGGCAAAGTGTCTCATGACCATCTAGAGACTGTTCCACAGAGAATGATAGCCTGCTTCTGCTACCAGTTACTCAGTGAGCTCCAATGAAAGAAATTGGGTGTTGTGGATCTAAAGGTACCCATCTTGGGGGTCAATTTGGTTCCACATTGTAGAACTACTGTATTAACCTTTTTATAAAACGAACTGAAATTACAAAAAACTGCAACAAAAACAAGATTGCAAAGCCAAATATTCAAAAGTTAGGAAAGGCCAGAAGTAATGCTGTCCCTGTAACCTTAATTTAGCCCATGTGCTACATGAATACATACCTGCACACGCCTCGGCCCACGCCGCTTCCCGCAGCCCCCATTGGCCTGGAACGGCGAACTGCGGCCAGTGGGAGCTGTGATCGGCCGATCCTGCGCATGCTGCAGGTAAACAAACTATCCTGACCTGCCAGCAGATTTCCCTGATGGGCTGCATGCCAAAGGTTGCCAATCCCTGGATTATATCATAATGCATACACTCAAGGGGAGGAGAGGAAAATTAAGGTTGCCTGGGCAACATTAATTCTAACATTTCCTAACTTTTAAGTGCATGGCTTTGCAGCTTTCATGTTCTTTTAATGCAGTTTTTTGGACATAATTTAAATAACTAGGGTGTTTAATAAGAAATTTATTTACTCCCAATTTACAGTATTAATCTTCTTTACATGCAACTACAGTATTATAGTTATGCCTCCACCAAAGCCAAATTGCAGTACTAGTTCCTCAATATATAGTTGAAGTAGATAGTTTGGGATAGTTTACATTCATGGATTATTTTGCAATGAAATAGAAAATGGCAAATACAAGACACATGGTATCACAATGCAGCAGAAAGTTTTTACAAAGGATTCTACTTCATAGAAGTCATTTTAAAATATGCATTTCTAAACTGGCTTTAAAATGATCATAAGAGTGCTTGAGTGACAACTGTCAAAACTACCTATTCTGTGAATATTTCAAAGCATGGCTGCTGCAGGACAAATGCCTCACTCTGCCCTTGAACCTAATCTGAACATAACAATTCTAAGGCTATGTCTACACTAGCACTTTTGTGAGTCAGCTATATCGCTGCAGTTGCGCAGCTGTAAAGTCTCCTGTGTAGCTGATCTGTGCTGACAGGAGAGAGCTCTCCCATGAGCATAATTAAATCACCCCCAAGGAGCTATGGTAGCTATGTTGAAAGGGGAGCGTCTCCTGCCCACATAGTGCTGTCCACCCCAGCGCTTTAGTTGGTATAACTTATGTCACTCAGGAGGGTGGCTTATTCACATCCCTGAGTGATACAAGTTATACTGACATAAGTGGTAATATAGACATTGCCTCAGTTTCCCAAACTCCAAAGCTTCTCTCTCTCACCAACAGAAGTTGGTCCAATAAAAGATATTTTCTTACCCACTTTGTCTCTCTTATTTTTTTTAAGAGGTGTCAGTTATCATAATACCCACGGTTGCAAACAGTACTATGCACACCTATTCGTTAGGAACTGGACTGAGACTACCAAATCCTTTCACAGAGGGCAGTGAACAGTATTCAGATGCCACTGTTAGTCACTACAACTTGGAATTTAGCCCAGACACAAGCAAATATTAAGTACACCTCTACCTCAATATAACGCTGTCCTCGGGAGCCAAAAAATCTTACCACGTTATAGGTGAAATCACGTTATATCAAACTTGCTTTGATCTGCTGGAGTGTGCAAGCCCCCCCCCCCAAGCACTGCTTTACCACGTTATATCCGAATTCATGTTATATCGGGGTAGAGGTGTACAATGAATAAAGAATCTTAAAAGCTTGAGGCTTTTTGTGCAGAGAAGGGGGATACATCTTCTCTTTCCGCCAACGCTGTAGGCAAGGATGAAGAAGATTTTAATGGAGAGCAGAAGTGGGCTTGAACTCTTCTTTCCTCACCAGCAACACTAGCTGAAGCTGTTTGCTAAAGAGATCAGCATGGAAATAGTTAACAATAGTGCCTGACAGCATTAGGTGTCTCACCACTTAGCTGAATGGGGTAGTTCATATCGGTGAACTGTTGTTTTAGGTTGCCCATTTGCAGAACCAGGAAGACAGCACTTCATTAGTTCACATTATTTCTCATTCAGGTGGTAATCTTTATAATCATAAAATCTAAAATCTCCAACTTGAGGCTTTTTCATGTCCAAATAACACTTATGTATTTAGGACTTTAGAGACTAAAATTTTTAATCTACCTAAATTTGGAATGTGAGCATGATTTAAGGCCTCCAACTATTGCTTGGATAGTTTTATAGCCTCTCCCCTTTGTGATGAAGGATTCTGTTGAGTGTGTCCTGGTATTGCAAAATCTCACTAGTTTAGAGTCTAATTCCATAGGTCCTTAGAGGGGAGAGGACTCAGCAGAGAGGACTCAGCAGAAGATGCCTCTCAGAATTGGGTCCTTAAATTGTGCCAGCTTTGTGCAGCCTTGTAATTAGGTCTAAATATGTGACAGCCCTCTAAACAAACAGTCTACATAGACTCACAATGGATTTATCAAAGCCTTTGAATTATTTTAAGACTGCTGTATTTCATTCTCTCTCTAAGTAATCAAGCAAGGGAGTTTTTGTTGGGGAAGTGATAAATCTGTGACTACATCTGAATCATATGATGGCATTAATAAATAAATAAATATGAGTGAAGGTTGCCTTAACTAGTACTTTTCTTGGTATTTGTGGGATTTGCATTTGAGCAACCTGAACTCTAAACTAGCAATATTTTTGTTTTGGTTTTCAGAAAGAAGTATTAATACTGAGAGTTAGTCACAAAGATAGCTACCAACACTGATATTTTATCCACCCTAGGCTTCCTCCCCACAGCCCTGCCCCCTGCATAGCTTCACTCCTCTATCATGCCCCAGGCAGAGTCCTGTACCTATAACAACTCACATGCACTCCCCTCACATATCTCTTTAGTCCCACTCTTCAACACATTCCATTTATCTTACATTGAGTCCCCAGAATTCTCTGCTCCCCCAACCCCATTCATCTTCCTATGTCCCCCCAAATTCTTGCTAAGTACCCCATCTCCCCTCCTACCACTTGGCTGCCTATGAAGCAGCTGCAGAGTGCACTGGGGAATTAAGCATGAGCAAGAATGACTGTGTGAGACAGACAGGAGAATGAGCACGAAAACGAGTGGGTTACAGGTGGCTGAATGGCAACATTAGAGGGTTGATGGCTAGGGTGATCAGATGTCCCGATTTTATCGGGACTGTCCCAATATTTGCTTGTTTGTCCCGCGTCCCGACCAATGTTAGGTCGGGACACTGGACAAACAAGCAAAGGCTCCGGAGCCCAGAAGGGCTCGTGCCCCCCCGCCCCAACTCTGCCCCCTCCTACCCCCATTGGCTCCCTCCCCAAATCCCCACCTCTTCCCCAAGCACGCCATTCCTCCTCCCTCCACAAGCGCTGGAGGGAGGCCGTGGAGACGCAGGGGGAGTGCAGGGCCAGGGTGAGTGAGAGTCC